GGGAGCATGGTGGGCAGAATTGAGCACATTGAGAATTCTTCAAATATGTTTCTTCAAATATGTACTTGATGTTGCCATTTCTTTTGATTTTTTTCTTTGATGAAGTTGTGCCTTTGTAAGTCTTTGATTTTCTAGTTGAGTTGATCTTAAAGTTGTGCTCTCCATATTTTTTGTTGATAAATGGCTTGGTGGTCTTTTACTTGTGAAGATCCACATGGAGTTTGAGATCTTGGATTGAAAAAATAATCTCAGACAACACTTGAGACAATACAACGTTTCTTCCATTCTATCGTTGATTTTGTATATTAAAGGGAAAAGGGTCAGATAGGCCCTCGAACTTACATAAAAGAGTCAAATAAGCCCTTGTATAGGAAGCTCTGTCCGTCCGTCGCCATTTGACGCGGTTCCCGGTGGAATTTTTTTATGAAATTTTTTGAGCATCTTATTCATTAAGTGTAGTTTACTCATACCAAATTTCAGCTAAAACTTCAATCGGGAAGGCATTCAAATGAATTCTGGAAGATAACTGCGCAGTTAAAAGCGTAGTTATCTTCAAGAATTCATTTGAATGCCTTCTCGATTGAATTGTTAGCTGAAATTTAGTATGAGTAAACTAGACTTAATAAATAAGATGTCCAAAAAAATCATCAAAAAATTCTACCGGAAACAGCCCCAAATGGCGACGGCCGGGAAGAGCCTCCTATACAAAATCAAGAACTAATATTTTTAGCATAATATTAGCTTTGGTAAATGAGGATGGAAGGTTCGCATGGGGCCGGGCTTCAGAGCAATGCCGATCCTACCCAAGTTTGGGCCTGAGTCGAAATACCTAAAAAGGCCCCTATAAATTACTCCCTCCGTCCCAAAAAGGTTGGCCAAATTTTCTTTTTTGGATGTCCCAAAAAGATTTGTCATTTCCATTTAAAGTAAGAAATACTATCTATGTGGCTAACATTAATTATCTCTCCTCTGCACAAATTTCAACTACAAAGTTTTTACTTTATTAATCCACGTGAAAGTCAACTTTGACCAACCTTTTCGGGACGGAGGGAGTACAATTTTTTTGAAAGACTATAAATTACAATTTTATGTAAATATGTAGTATAATTTGTTTTGAAGTTAAAGATAAAACATCAAAAGGTAATTAATAAAATAATTTTTTTACATAATACTATGTACAATATAACATTACCAAATGTATTTAAAATAACTAATTAAGTATAACCCCTCAAACAATATTAGTCGCAAAAATATAAATTAATCAAAGTGCTCAAGAAATGTCAAACAAACGTTGAAACTAATATTAGTTAAACAAATGTGCTAAATAATACATACTGACATGTTAGTAAATACGAGTGCATAACCTACTTAAAATTTAAATTTTAAATGTAAAAAAACTAAAATTGTTTAATTGTGCATCTCAATTCTTTTAAATATGCCAAATTAAACACAAGCTGGATTTTCTAAGCATGGATCAATCAAGTTGCAAAAATAAAAAAGCTATGGATCAATCAATGGCATCAGAAATCACCCTTGGAGCAATTTCAGCACTCCGATTAAGACAAAAAAAACTTTTTCATTGTACAAAACAAATTCAAATTAGGGCCATAACCTTTCTATCTTTACAATTTCAAAAGTCAAAACTTATGTTCAGTCGTTCCGCTTCACTTTGTTGGTACTTGATCGGCTTTTTTAGTTTTGAAGCACAACAACACATAAAATTTAAAGCAAGACACATCTTTTATAATTTAAATACATGTAAATAATAGGAAGATATTTTGAATTATGGGCCCTTAAATTTTCAATATTTTTGGGGCCCTGAGGCCTTTGCCTCACCGGCCTCTAACAAGGCACGGCCCTGCTTCAGAGCCTTTAGAAGTTCCAACAAATCAGCAAATGCAACTTACTCAACTTGTGATCACGCTTAAAAACAAAAAGCCTAATTGTAAAGGAAAGTTTTGAGAAATCCTTGCATCCGGGAGCCAATTCATGTTGAGTTTCTTCAACTAACTTGTAGAATTTGATTGCCTCTTCATTAGGATATTCTGGAAAACTATCACGTAGCAAGCCATCCATGTCGTCATTTAATCTACCACTACAACCAACATCATGATAATTCATCCTTGATTCTAGATGTTGCTCTGATGATGGCACAAAAGCTTTTGCTATTACATGATCTTTCTGTTGGCTCTATCCATTCCAAAATCAACGTGTATGTTCACCGTATTGCTCTAAAGTTGACCGCATTGACCGTCTAGCTCCAAGAATTGACCTGGAAAATAATCACTAAAACGAACTAAAAATATATTATAGGCTCGAGACGTGTCAGACGTTGTCCTAAGGAATTATTTACGGCGTACGGAAATTTCCCCCAAGATATAACGAGCCTTTTGGTATGAGACCGGAAGCAGAACTAACGAGAAGAAAATAATTATATGAACCCAATAATCATTGACCCTGACCAAGAAAATTGACAAGAATAATTCCACCTTTCACTGGTCTTCTCATAATAATCCTACCTTTACATAATCCCAAAATAATCTCACCTTTGCACCTCATCTTCTTTCATTGGACCCTGACCAATTTTTTTACCTTTATATGAAAATATTATATAAATAATCTCGCATTTATAAAGATATAATAGAAAAGTTAAAGGTGAGATTATTTATATGATTTTCAAAAAAAGAGTAAAAAACATGGTCAGGGTCCAATGAAAGAAAATGAGGTGCAAAGGTGGGATTATTCTGGAATTATCTAAAGGTGGGATTATTATGAGAAGACCAGCGAAAGGTGGGATTATTTTTGTCAATTTTTCCATAATCATTTGAACAAAATATGATTTGTGATAAATCTATTGTGTATAATCTAAACCATAGGGAGTTTCCGAGCTACAACCATGAGATACTTTTCCAAGATGCTTGACACCTCATGAGCCATACCTTGCTCTTCCAAGAATTAGTGTGCATCAAATACTATATATATTAGTGAACCTTGATTCACTATTTATTATTAATATAATAATAAAAGCCAAGATCATGAAACGGTTTGGATAGGAGCTCAAAGGACAATGCTCAATAATGCATATTTATTGTAATTATTAATAATCAACAATTAATCCTCCTTAAAGATAATGTTCAAACATAACGTTTAACATTTTATTTTCATTATAGGCATAATTTTCATATGAAGACATAAAAGTAGAATGTATATATAAGATGTATAAACATTTATTATTAAATTAGTATGTGAAAAAATAAATAAGAAAAGTAATACTTTATTCATTTGAAATACTCCTATTTTTCCAACAATCCCTCACATATTTCAAATGAATAATTTTTTAAGTATTTAACAATAGCAATTCCTTGCTGGGTTCACATATGGGGTGAGGTTTTTCAATCTAGTGTCCGTAGACTTGAACCAAACCTAGACGCCTAAGTCTTTAAATACCGAGGTTATTGGTGAAACGTATAGTTTCTATGAACCAATAATCTACTTTGGTAAGTCAATGTCTTAGGGGATCATTTTTCACCCCCACCTTTCTCATCGTTATTGCCGTTGTGCGCCTCTAGGCTGGGCACGTGCTTGGTTTTCTTGAGTGCTTTAGAAGTGTTGTCAATGTTTCATGGAGGCGGCCCCACCTCACACTCATATAGGTGATATCATCAAGTGTGTGCCGCTTTTGCACACCACCCTTAAATTAAGAGTTATGATAATCATTAAGAGCTTTTAGCTCAGCCTCTCAAAGAATGCGGTTCTAGCATATACTTCCTCCGTTCTTGAATAAATGCAATGGTCAACATTTCACATTTACCGAGGCACAACTTTGACCATTAATATATATAATTCACTATTAGTAAAAAAAAATAAAAAATTTAGATTTTGAAAATTTGCAATGAGACAAATTTAAGGATATTTTTTCAAAAAAATATATTCATACATTAATAAATAAAACGTGGTCAAAGTAGAACATGTGAATAGTGTAAAATTCAACATGTTGCATTTATTTAAGAACGGATGTAGTATCTCACATCATGGAAATGGGCTATTTTAGTTAGGCTAGCAGAACAAATAGAAGACTTGTTATTACCCATTTGAACTTGTTTCATGGGATCTCCAATCACACAAGTTGGGTTCCCATCCCTATTTGTTGTCAAAGTGACATTAGTCCATTTCCCTCGATGTTTAAATTAATCATTTAACGTCCTAGGGATTCTGTCAAAGGAGTAGCTAATTCCTTCTGACTTCACAAAATTAATGGAGATAATTCCATTCTCAAACATCATTGCACCACTTTTAAGGGTGAATGAATATCCACTATTTTAATTTATCTCATGTGAGTCGACTCAGATGTCATCGTTGTATTCCGGCAATACAACGGATAATTCTCAATAAGAAATAACATCGATGTGACCCTTTAGTACATCACATAATTCTCAATAAAATATATATCATCACTGTATCAAAAGATAATTCTCATATAACATCATTGTACCGCTCTAGTACAACAGATATTTCTCAATAAAACATATCATCGTTGTACCAATATATTACAACGGATAATCCTAACCAAATACATCATAATTAATTATACCTCTCAAGTATCTCAATGACTTTTCAAGGTATTCCAACTATCCCATTTGAATTTCAAAAATTGACTCAATCTGTGACACTACGAAAATTTAAATAAAATAATTAAATTGTTAATCGGATAAAACTTTGACATAAATAATAAGAATTACATTTTTTTTAAAGATTATTAATGACTAAAAATAATATATAATAATAATAATAATATAATATGCGTATATAACACACCTAATACTAATAATACATATATACACGTACATAAAAAATCCCTGCGTATGTTTTATATCAATGAATTGGGTTTAGAAAGTTTGGGATGCCAAGACCACGTACGTACCGAACCCTAAAGCTAGAACCTTCCAAACCTGCGCGTATAAATACCTTGCGGATGACGACGCCTCCACAAGTACCAACGTATTATACTCTCTGTATACGGTACGAAGCAAACTGCGAAAAATGGGCCAACATATTATACAAACGATCGATCTCACTGCCCTGCATCAAAATAGATGAACCGACCCCGGAAAGTGAACAACCCGAATGAGTAGCTTGCAGTGCCCCGACGACAGGAGAATAGAGAGACCGTCTTCGCCGGAGGAGTGGTACGAAACTCGCTGGAGGTGCTGATACGAGACCAAACTGCTGCTGCATAAATCGGAGGAAAAGGAAGTTCGCCGGCCGAGTACTGCTGCCGAACTAAATTCACGCCAAAGGAGGGAATCAATTTCAAAGCAACTTGAGCAGACCTTCTATTGCCGGTGGAGGGCGCCACCTGCGCACGACGGCTGATTTTCGACGAAGGCTACGAGTGCACGTAAGCTTTAAACTCCGTAAGCCCTGCTTTGTTATTCTACATAGTATGATATCTTCGGGCTGAGCTGGTTTTCTAATACGAGTAATACGAAGTAATAGTTTATATGATAAAGAGTAATACGGAGTACTTTGTTAGTAACATCGTTAATGATAAAAAAACGGTAATGGAGACTATAATATGATGGATGCTATGGACTATTGTTATGACTAATTACTATTGAAACGATAAAATCATAAAGAGGGGATATAACTAAAGGGTAGAGGAATTTAAATAGTTGATTTGATTATTGATTGGTGAATTCTAAATAGAAGGTGAACTTGAGTGAGGAGCAAAATAGAAGAATTTCGCTAGGAGTACTTGGAGTTTGAGGTAAGTTTCACATCAACCAAAATTATACCTTTTCCTCGCAAATCTATTTATGATTATTTATTTGAATTATTTGAGTATTTGATGAGATTTCTAGCAATTACATTTACGTATTAAATTAGTTGCGATTGAGATTTTTATTTGAGTATTTGGAAATTGTAACGAATTGTTATTTGAGTATTCTGTATTGGATATATTTTGAGTATTTGAGTTATCGTGTGAATTGTTGTGTGGATTTGAGCTATTTGTATTTCGGCTCTTTTGCGAAAATTTAATGTATGGTACATTTGAGTGAAATTTGTTGGAGTTAATATTTTTCATTGTGGATTATTTTGTGGACTTTGGATTTCATATCCGTTTTGGTTGATGTTGTGATATTGGCTTGGAACTTTGAGAATGAATTGTGATTTTTGGTGAGCACCCGGAGAAATCCGTGGTGTCGGTTTGCCACATCCGGATAAATGTGGTATTGGTGAGTGGTAATGGCTATAAGTCTAAATCCACCAGGGGTACTTCCCAAAAGAGGAGTATCCCAGCTTAATTGTAGTGTAGTTGGTAGAAAAATCCCGACTACTCGGGCTTCTTACTACCCGGAGGGCTTGGAATCCCTTTTAGGGGGTGTGCACACTTAAGGTAGGAGTTCGGCTTCCACTGGACTTTGATTGGATTGGTTTTGAGACTTCGAGGTGAACTTGATATATTGGGATTGAGGTGAATATTATTTGATTGGATTAGACTTGAGGTGAATTTGAATTATTGGATTGATTGAGATTGGATTATGTTTGGATTGAATTTTGAGTTGGATTGAATTATTAAATTATTTATGATTTTTAGAGTATAAATACTTTTGGGTTTGATTTGGTTTGATTATGTTGAATATCCTTTATGAGCATTTATAAGTATTTTGAGATAAATATTTGGTGTTTGATTTATGCTTGGGAATTGTTGTAATGATTTTCGGTGTTTATTGTGCATTTTTTGGAATTATTATGGTTCGAATTATCTATCTTCAATTAAAATATTAATGTTTTACGTATGAATTATGTGAGAGAACTTTGTATAAATATTAGTTTACTTATGGTTAATATAAAGTGTTTTGAAAATATTCTTCTCCAAACGTTTTTCAAAAATATTAAATTATATTATGGGGTTAGGTGGAACTTACTTAGCATTGTTGCTAATTTTTGTTTTCTTTTGTTTTTCTTTCTGTACTTGATTTTGTACAGGTAACACTTTGATGATGATGTTGATTTCGAGAGAGCTTCCGCTAGAAAATACAATTAGTAAATCATTGTAATTCCATTTTCAATATCTTTAGTTGGTGAATAATTATTTTTGGAGTTTAATTTGTTTTAGCCTGTGCACTCGGTTAAGGGACAACTGAGTGTGGCGGTAACGCCCCTATTCCCTTTTGAATTTTCCGCTGCATAACTCTGATGCTTTCGAATAAAATTAATAATAAAGTATTATTTTAAAGTGTTTTTGGGTGGGAAATTTGGGGGTGTTACAAGTTGGTATCAGAGACAGGTTCTTTGGGGAATTTTTCTAAACAATTTTTCTAAGGTTTTCTAAAAAGGTTTGCACACATTTTTGAAATTTCCTTTAAAGGTTTTTCAAAATGCTTTTCCAAATTATTTTTGAAAAAAAAAAAAACAATCTAGGACTAAAATAAAATTTTAGGCGCGTGGTGAGGTTGTGAGACTTTGATTTTGATTTTCGTTGATTTTGCGGCTCTTTTGATTTTCTTGGGATATGTTTAAGTGTGACATATCCATATATGTTTATTTGAGGATAAGTTTGGACTTATAGAAGAACTTTAGGCAATATTTGATTAGTGAGTTATAGATTAGAATAGTAAAATTGTGAATACTAGCTATTTGATAGATTTCTTATTTGTATCCTAAACGCTACTCTTTTCAAGGAGACAATGACGTCAATGAGGAACAACATCGAGAACAATGATGTCGCACCAACGAACTCGGAGTTAGCTCAAAATATGGCCCAACTAACACAACTCATCCAGACTGTCACGAATGTGTTACTGCAGAATCAAAACCAACAACATCTCAACACCCGTAATGATGTAGCGAAACTTATAGCGAAGCGCAATCCCCCGAGCTATTTAGGTGAAGAAGATCCTCGAATCCTCGAGGATTGGATTCGCACTTTCGACAAACTATTCGATGCCATAAACTGCCCCGCGGATCAACGGGTTAATATAGTTGCATACTACTTACGTCAAGAGGCGGATAATTGGTGGGCCATGACTGGCCCAACATTGCGTCAACAACCCGACTTTTCTTGGGAGACGTTTAAGAAGGCAATACGAGAAAGATTCTACCCAGAGCACGTGAGAGCTGAGAAGTACGAAGAATTCTTACATCTGAAGCAAGTGGGTATGACTGTTCAAGAGTACCACGCCAAATTCTTGGAGCTCGCACGATTTGCACCTGCGTTAGTTCCCGATGAAATCGACAAAACTAACAAGTTTATACGTGGACTGAACTTCGAGACACAAAAAGCTCTTTGCGTTTCAGAATGTCAAACTTTGAACGAGGCCTACGGCAAAGCTGCCAAGCATTACCGAGTGAAACAACTCCAGAAGGAAACACTTAAGAAAGCGAGAAAGGGCACCGAAGAAGAAAGCAAACGGGGAGACAAACGACAGAGGCCAAATCATCTGAAGGAGACCCGAAACAGGAACAAGATCAAAAATAAAGGTCACGATCAAAAGCGTAAGAAGAACTATTCCGCTGATACCGCACACTTCTATTGCACGAAATGTGGAAAGGATCATCCTGGAAAATACTGTGACGGAACGCTTGTGAGATGTTTTCATTGTGATAAACTAGGGCATCGGGTGTTCGAGTGTCATTCTAGGAAGAAAGGCTTATCTCCAAATCATGGATGCCATCGTCAAGGGAAGAATGCCAACCGCAACGGAAAAACTTGAGAGTAGTAGTTGGGACCGTTTAAATTTCTAATTATCAGTAGTAGTAACCTCTTTGAAGAATAATGTATCGTTTGGTCTTGAATGAATAATTATTTTCTTGAGTTGCATGCTTCGGGGACGAAGCATCTTTTTAAGGGGAGTAGAATGTGACACTACGAAAATTTAAATAAAATAATTAAATTGTTAATCGGATAAAACTTTGACATAAATAATAAGAATTACATTTTTTTTAAAGATTATTAATGACTAAAAATAATATATAATAATAATAATAATATAATATGCGTATATAACACACCTAATACTAATAATACATATATACACGTACATAAAAAATCCCTGCGTATGTTTTATATCAATGAATTGGGTTTAGAAAGTTTGGGCTGCCAAGACCACGTACGTACCGAACCCTAAAGCTAGAACCTTCCAAACCTGCGCGTATAAATACCTTGCGGATGACGACGCCTCCACAAGTACCAACGTATTATACTCTCTGTATACGGTACGAAGCAAACTGCGAAAAATGGGCCAACATATTATACAAACGATCGATCTCACTGCCCTGCATCAAAATAGATGAACCGACCCCGGAAAGTGAACAACCCGAATGAGTAGCTTGCAGTGCCCCGACGACAGGAGAATAGAGAGACCGTCTTCGCCGGAGGAGTGGTACGAAACTCGCTGGAGGTGCTGATACGAGACCAAACTGCTGCTGCATAAATCGGAGGAAAAGGAAGTTCGCCGGCCGAGTACTGCTGCCGAACTAAATTCACGCCAAAGGAGGGAATCAATTTCAAAGCAACTTGAGCAGACCTTCTATTGCCGGTGGAGGGCGCCACCTGCGCACGACGGCTGATTTTCGACGAAGGCTACGAGTGCACGTAAGCTTTAAACTCCGTAAGCCCTGCTTTGTTATTCTACATAGTATGATATCTTCGGGCTGAGCTGGTTTTCTAATACGAGTAATACGAAGTAATAGTTTATATGATAAAGAGTAATACGGAGTACTTTGTTAGTAACATCGTTAATGATAAAAAAACGGTAATGGAGACTATAATATGATGGATGCTATGGACTATTGTTATGACTAATTACTATTGAAACGATAAAATCATAAAGAGGGGATATAACTAAAGGGTAGAGGAATTTAAATAGTTGATTTGATTATTGATTGGTGAATTCTAAATAGAAGGTGAACTTGAGTGAGGAGCAAAATAGAAGAATTTCGCTAGGAGTACTTGGAGTTTGAGGTAAGTTTCACATCAACCAAAATTATACCTTTTCCTCGCAAATCTATTTATGATTATTTATTTGAATTATTTGAGTATTTGATGAGATTTCTAGCAATTACATTTACGTATTAAATTAGTTGCGATTGAGATTTTTATTTGAGTATTTGGAAATTGTAACGAATTGTTATTTGAGTATTCTGTATTGGATATATTTTGAGTATTTGAGTTATCGTGTGAATTGTTGTGTGGATTTGAGCTATTTGTATTTCGGCTCTTTTGCGAAAATTTAATGTATGGTACATTTGAGTGAAATTTGTTGGAGTTAATATTTTTCATTGTGGATTATTTTGTGGACTTTGGATTTCATATCCGTTTTGGTTGATGTTGTGATATTGGCTTGGAACTTTGAGAATGAATTGTGATTTTTGGTGAGCACCCGGAGAAATCCGTGGTGTCGGTTTGCCACATCCGGATAAATGTGGTATTGGTGAGTGGTAATGGCTATAAGTCTAAATCCACCAGGGGTACTTCCCAAAAGAGGAGTATCCCAGCTTAATTGTAGTGTAGTTGGTAGAAAAATCCCGACTACTCGGGCTTCTTACTACCCGGAGGGCTTGGAATCCCTTTTAGGGGGTGTGCACACTTAAGGTAGGAGTTCGGCTTCCACTGGACTTTGATTGGATTGGTTTTGAGACTTCGAGGTGAACTTGATATATTGGGATTGAGGTGAATATTATTTGATTGGATTAGACTTGAGGTGAATTTGAATTATTGGATTGATTGAGATTGGATTATGTTTGGATTGAATTTTGAGTTGGATTGAATTATTAAATTATTTATGATTTTTAGAGTATAAATACTTTTGGGTTTGATTTGGTTTGATTATGTTGAATATCCTTTATGAGCATTTATAAGTATTTTGAGATAAATATTTGGTGTTTGATTTATGCTTGGGAATTGTTGTAATGATTTTCGGTGTTTATTGTGCATTTTTTGGAATTATTATGGTTCGAATTATCTATCTTCAATTAAAATATTAATGTTTTACGTATGAATTATGTGAGAGAACTTTGTATAAATATTAGTTTACTTATGGTTAATATAAAGTGTTTTGAAAATATTCTTCTCCAAACGTTTTTCAAAAATATTAAATTATATTATGGGGTTAGGTGGAACTTACTTAGCATTGTTGCTAATTTTTGTTTTCTTTTGTTTTTCTTTCTGTACTTGATTTTGTACAGGTAACACTTTGATGATGATGTTGATTTCGAGAGAGCTTCCGCTAGAAAATACAATTAGTAAATCATTGTAATTCCATTTTCAATATCTTTAGTTGGTGAATAATTATTTTTGGAGTTTAATTTGTTTTAGCCTGTGCACTCGGTTAAGGGACAACTGAGTGTGGCGGTAACGCCCCTATTCCCTTTTGAATTTTCCGCTGCATAACTCTGATGCTTTCGAATAAAATTAATAATAAAGTATTATTTTAAAGTGTTTTTGGGTGGGAAATTTGGGGGTGTTACACAATCTTTCGACATTTTAAATTATGCCGGGTCACACACATTTCGTTAACTGTAAAAAACTCACATTTTTAGATGTACATATCAAGCCTCAGAATTACATCTTTGTTTTTTTTTTTAAATTTTGTTAAAATCATAAGAGATATTCACATTATTAACACTGCAATGCCAAACTTCTTAAGAAGTATCTAAAATCTTATAAGCATGAATAGGGGTAAGGGTTTAAATGGTATGTAAAAAATGTTGGTGTAACTCAAAGCAAAAATTAGTTGTACTCTAACCTTAATCCCATGTACGTAATCTTCTTTTTTGTCATATTTGTTAATAACTCCGCTAAGCTCATCAGTTAGAGTGTGTTATTTGTTTGTTCATTTAACTTTTGTATGTTACCAATTAGTCAAATTCACGTATTTACTTCTCTTAATTAACTTTTCTTAATTAATTCTCTTCATATATATAACTGTTTCAATTTTTCAAATCCCCAAAATATTATATCCTTCTTTTGTCATGTCTTATATACGTAGTATACTTTTGATTCCTCCTTAATTTCCTTGGAAAGAAAACTTAAGGTGTAAAAACGACTATTAAATAATGGGAAAGTTATGTTTAAATTATATCTTATTAATAAAATTAGTAAAACATTACATAAAAATATCTAAAATCTTATAAGCATGAATAGGGGTAAGGGTTTAAATGGTATGTAAAAAATGTTGGTGTAACTCAAAGCAAAAATTAGTTGTACTCTAACCTTAATCCCATGTACGTAATCTTCTTTTTTGTCATATTTGTTAATAACTCCGTTAAGCTCATCAGTTAGTGTGTTATTTGTTTGTTCATTTAACTTTTGTATGTTACCAATTAGTCAAATTCACGTATTTACTTCTCTTAATTAACTTTTCTTAATTGATTCTCTTCATATATATAACTGTTTCAATTTTTCAAATCCCCCAAATATTATATCCTTCTTTTGTCATGTCTTATATACGTAGTATACTTTTGATTCCTCCTTAATTTCCTTGGAAAGAAAACTTAAGGTGTAAAGACGACTATTAAATAATGGGAAAGTTATGTTTAAATTATATCTTATTAATAAAATTAGTAAAACATTACATAAAAATAGCTAAAATAGTATTCAACGGTAACATCAGTCAATTCAATCAGAAAAGTATTTAACAATTTTACGATTGTTTCTACTTTAAAAAGTGATTTAGGAGAAAGTGTTTAATAGTAAAAGTTGTTAGTGTTTAAGAAAAAGGTGTTTCTAAAAAAGTAAAAGTTGATAGTGTTTGATAAAATAAGTGTTTTTTGTGTAATAGAAAAGTGAAAAGCAGTTTAAAGCACATTTCACTTGCTTCCAACTTTTAGCTTTAATGTGTTTAATTTAAACAAAAGCTTTCACTTGAAAACACCCATTTCAGCTTTTTAAGCCTAAAGATGAAAAAACAATTTTTTTTTTGCAAACACTCTTATTTTGATTATTACACAATTCAACCCATGAAGTCAAAAGCTACGTGTTTGATCAAAAAATTGGATGATAATGATGATAAGCTGAAATTATGAGTTACCAAATGAGGTCTAAATTGTAGATTATTGTAATTAACTATAAGTTTGTTTCCACGTACTTATTTGTTTCTACAGCTTTGCTAATTTAATCTCTATTTTATTATATGGTCAAATTGTTTTTGGTATTGGAACCATGTGTTTGGAGAATGGTTCTCCATATGTTAATTGCTAATGTTAGTCTGATCTTTTTCTTTATCCTTGTTGCTCTTAGATGATGCACATAATTAGGACCTATTGTGGATGTTTTCTTCTCCCATCCAATGTAAAAATACAACGCTAAGAACCATGCAATTTATTGTAAATGTAACATGAATACTTGTTTTGAGTTGTAACTTGAAATAAAAGTCCACCTCATACGCTCACATATGTAACTTTTTCATGTATATATTTGACTATAACTTATTTATCCACTTTTTTTTAAAAAACTTCATGTTATTTCTATTGTTCTTGAATGACTATAGTTCTCATGAATCCATAGTAATATTTATTTCCAAACTCTTAAGAGATCCTTAAAGTGAAAATGTTGACACCGCATTATCCACTTCATTGAAAAGTTGGACCCGCCCGCCTCCTTTAATACTAGAAATTTAGACTATACTACTCTTTTATCCTCTTCGGTTAGTGTGATTCTTACCATCCGAACCCCCATAAGCACCACATGTAGTAT